TCATCAGAAGACCAAGAAGACCTTGAGAAGAGTCCGGACCATCGACGAGTTGAAGCTTGCACCGCAGTTCCTAGAAAAGAAAAGGATAGAAGAGTGTCAACACTTGAAGAAGATTGCTGACTCTCTATATTATAAGGGGGAGTCACCACAGCTGCTCATCGGTCAAGACAACTGGGAGCTAATCGTGACTCAAGAAGTAAGAAGAGGGAAACCAGGACAACCAGTCGCTTCAAGAACAGGACTTGGATGGGTGCTCCACGGGTCAGACACTGGAGGCGCGAAAGTGGTGCACTTCTTAAACACGTGTCTACATGTCCAGCACGCCAGAAGAAGAGATGCATCAAGCCATCAAGGATCACTTCGCAATCGAAGCACTTGGAGTACTACCAAGAAGACCCACTACGGATTCAGAAGAAAGAGCACTCACCATCCTAGAGAAGACCTGCAGAAGACTAGAAGATGGTCGATTTGAAGCTGGACTTCTATGGAAAAATGAAGATGAACAGATGCCTGAAAGCTACACGTCTGCCAAGAACCGATTGTTCAACATTGAAAAGAAGATAGACAAAGACCCTCAGCTGAAGGCAGAATACAATAAGCAGATCCAGCATCTAATCGACAGCAAGTATGCAGAAGAAGCACCTGGTGGACAAGAAGATTCAAAGAAGACATGGTACCTCCCTCATTTCTCCGTGGTACATCCATTGAAGAAGAAAATAAGGATCGTCTTCGACGCTGCAGCCAAGTCTAAAGGGAGAAGCCTCAACGACGCTTTACTACCGGGACCAGACCTACTGCAATCGCTCTTCGGGGTATTACTGAGGTTCCGGCAAGGCCCGTTTGCAGTGGCAGCCGACATAAAGGAAATGTTCCTGCAAGTTCGCATCCGGCCAGAAGATAGAAACAGCTTGAAGTTCCTGTGGCGAGGGGATCGTCGTGACGTAGCACCGAAGGAGTACAGAATGACATCAGTCATCTTCGGCGCGACATCATCTCCTAGCACAGCGATCTACGTGAAGAACCGGAACGCGGCGGACTACAAGAAGCAGTACCCAGAGGCAGCAAAGGCAATCGAGCTGAACCATTACATGGATGACTACCTGCACAGCTTCCATTCAGAAGAGGACTTCAAGAGAATTACAGCGCAGGTGGACTTCATTCACAAAAAGGCGGGCTTCGAACTCCGAGGATGGGCGTCAAACCACTCCGACCTGCTGCAAGACGTGAAGACTGAGTCAGTTGAGAAGACAGAGGTGGACCTTGGTGAGAAGGAAGAGAAGACACTGGGACTACGCTGGTTTACAGAAAGGGACTCCATAGGCTTTAGGGCGAACCTTCGGAACACGCCAGATGAAGTGGCACAAGGACTCAAGGTACCTACGAAGAGAGAAGTCACCAGCGCCGTGATGTCGACCTTCGATCCACTAGGGCTAGCATCACCAATTCTCATCCAAGGCAAAAGGCTGCTCCAGAACATATGGCGAAGTGGCGTCGGTTGGGATGAAGAGATAGAAGAAAAGGAGTACGAGTCATGGAAGACTTACCTGGAGAAGATGAAGCTGCTCCAAGACCTTCAGATCCCGAGATGTCTGGCACCACGTCGCACCGAGGGGGAGCTGCACACGTTCACGGATGCAAGCGAAATGGCGTATGCAGCTACGGTATATTGGAGAACTGAAAATCAAAATGGGACTTATGACGTCAGCTTAGTAGCAGCAAAAGTAAGAGTCGCTCCGTTGAAGCCGGTGTCAATCCCGAGACTCGAGCTGCAAGCGGCCCTCCTAGGAAGCAGATTGGCACACTCGGTCGAGGAAGAAATGGATCTGAAAACAGAAAAGAAGACGTTTTGGACAGACTCCAGTATCGTGCTATCATGGATCAAGACGGACCCGAGAACCTTCAAGACATTCGTGGCTCATCGCTTGGCGGAGATAGAAAGATCTCACAAAACCACAGGACTGGAGATGGGTACCGACGGCGCAGAACCCTGCAGATGATGCAACACGTGACGTACCAGAACACTTCGACTGCCAACACCGATGGTACACCGGACCAGGGTTTCTAAGAAGAGATGAAGTTCACTGGCCTGCGGCAAGAACATTCAAGAAAGAAACCACTGGCGAAGAAAAGGCAGCGGACATCGTAGCGACTGCAGGCAGCTCCTATCCATCACCAGATCCCGAAAAGTTCTCGTCGTGGAAAAGACTTTGGCGAGCTACAGCAAGAGTACTGCAGTTCATACAACTCTGCAGAAGAAAGGAAAAGGTCCACGCCAGCAAAGAAGATCCTACCTGGAAAACTACAAAAAGGAATAAGAAAATTGTTGAGAAGCGACATCTGTCTTCAAAAACGTCAGAAAGGAAATACATACCATTGGAAACAAGTCTACTAGAGCAAGCTGAAACGCTGTTGTTAAGAAGAAGTCAAGAGAAATGCTTCAAAGAGGACATCAGGTGCCTACAGCAAGGAAAACAATTAGAGGGCAGCAGCAAGTTGAAAAGGCTCGACGTAGTGCTAGAAGAAGGTCTCCTGCGACTGAAAGGAAGAATCGACGCGATACGAGGGGTTACCAGAGACTACAAACGACCCATCGTACTCGACAGCAAGGACAAGACAACACTTCTCATCATAGAAGAATTTCACTGCCGCTTCAATCACGGGAATCACGCGACCGTAATGAACGAAGTAAGACAACGCTTCTGGGTGCTAGGACTGAGGTCAGCGATCAAGACCATTCAACATCAATGCCAGTGGTGCAAAACAAGAAAGGCAAGACCTCAAGAACTACCAGTGGGCAACTTACCTGCTGAGAGGCTGATGCACGGAAACCCTCCATTTACGTGCACGGGAATAGATTACTTCGGCCCTATGACGATCACCGTAGCAAGACGCCATGAGAAGAGATGGGGTGCTCTATTCACATGCTTAACAACACGAGCTGTACACATTGAGCTCACTCCTTCACTCTCCACTGACAGCATGATCATGGCACTACGACGATTCGCCGCGAGAAGGGGAATGCCAAAGATAATCTACACCGACAATGGCACTAACTTCGTTGGCGCCAACAAAGAACTCAAAGAAGCACTAGACACCATGAAGCAAGAAGACCTTATCTCGGAAGCGGAGAAGATCGGTGTGCAGTGGAAGTTCATACCTCCTGGTGCACCAAACATGGGAGGTGCATGGGAGCGTCTGGTGCGATCCATTAAAACCGCACTGGACGCCACGCTCAACGAAAGGCAACCACGAGAGGAGGTACTTCATACCCTCCTGTTAGAGGCCGAGCACACAGTCAACTCTCGGCCCCTCACCCACCTCTCCGAGAACCCTGAAGAAGAAGCACTTACACCGAACCACTTTCTCATCGGGCGATCATGTGGCGCAGCAAGAATCGGCAGCTTCGAGGACAACGAGCTTGTGGGCAGACACACCTGGAAGGCTACGCAGCGACTTGCCGATCACTTCTGGCAACGTTGGCTGAGAGAGTATTTGCCCACTCTACTACCAAGGAAGACCAAAGGAAGAGTCAGCGCCACAGATTTGCAAGTCGGAGACATCGTACTGATCGTCGATCACAGCCTACCAAGATGCATCTGGCCACGCGGAAGAATCCTGCATGTGTATCCTGGACCAGACGGGCGGACCAGAGTCGTCGACGTCGAGACCAGAGGAGGTGTTCTACGGAGGCCCAGTTCGAGAGTGGTGCTGTTGGTGCCGGGAGCGTCGCCGAGTCCAGGAGTTGGTGCAAAGCACGAGGGGGAGAATGTCGGCGACGGAAAACTTATCTTCGAGTAACGTGTGTATTAATATAGGGACAATGTCATTTTAGCGTATTATGAATAATTGTTGTAAATATGAAATCTCATTCTTATTAGATTTATTATGTTAAAATAAGTTCTAATTAGTGTAATAAGGTTAGTTTAGAGTATTTTTTGCTTATTTGAATCATATAAGACTATTTAACATTAATTTGAAAGGAATAGGTACGTAAGTAAAATGTTAGCATATAATTACGTAACTTGAAAATGAGATTTTTTGTTTCTTGCAATAGCATAATAGTTTATGTTTTAAATAATAGATTTTATTATAAAACTTATAATAAAACAAGAATTAGGTCGATAGGACTATCCGTTCAAAAGTTATAAGGGAAAATGTATAGTAAAAATGTAGCAACCTAGAAATTTAGATATTTTTGTTTTAAGACTTTTTTAATTAATTATTATATATTGAATATTATGTTTTAATATTGTATAATAGTATGTAAGGCATGTAAATAAATAAATATGTGTAAGGTGTTTTACTGAAAACATAAAATAAAAGGACTCTCAAGGTTTCGGTTTAGGGAAATTTTATTCGAAAAACGAGCTCAAAGTACGCGGCTCTCTGTAAGGTATTAACGGGCCAAATAAAAGGCGAGCCATTTCTCGATTCGAGTCAGTCGCAAGACAGCCACCGAAGAGGCAACAACTAAAAGGAAAAGGAAGAACCGAAACCAAGAGAGAAAAAAGGAAAAATTGTGTTTTATTTCATCGCCTCTAAGTATAGTCTCCTGTCAACGAAGAAACCCTAGTGGATCGGGACCCAAGCTACGCATTCAGGGGTGCGTGGTGGCGTACATTACCAGCGAACGGACATACTGCCGTGTACGCCAAGAACGTCTGGGAGATTGTCCCAGGTCGACCTCCGGGTACTAGACATACCCTGGTTCTGGTCGTCCGAAACATATATATATATATATATAATATATATATACATATTTATGATATATATATATATATATATATATATATATATATATATACATATTTATGATATATATATATATATATATATATATATTTATGATTTATTCAGGAAAACTAGTTTTTGTAATCTCTTTATAAATTTCGACAAAGTTTGAATGCTATTTAGATGATACATTAATTATCTTAGACTATTGAGAGTTTTGTAAGGTAAACACGTAGTATCTGGTAGATAATAATTGTTTTTGTTCACAGTTGTAGTAGTTTGCGCGAACCCAAGTACCGTACGCGAGATAATGTTGGCAGCAGATGATCTCAATATGGTGTCGTCTGGCGAGTATGTGTTCTTCAACATCGAGCTATTCTCTAAGTGAGTGATTTATTTTATTTCTATTAATAAATAGTATCAATTAAAATATCTTTAATATGTATAATATGTTTCATATATACATTAAGGTTTTTTTAAATGATTTAAGTACATAGAAGGTAGTCGAGTAAATTTAAATTATTTGTTGAGCTTCTGCTTTAACAATGTTTGTAAACTATAGAATAACTGTAATAACCATATAAGGTAGTCTGTATTTAGATATTTAAATCAGTTTTTTTAATTGTATTAACAATAGGTACTCAATTTGGGTCTGTTTGTTTGTGTGTATGTTTAGCGATATCTTTTATCAATTGTCATGATTATTTTAATCCTGATACTTTTAAGTTATAAAAATTAAAGGTTTATCTGTTACGTATAAAATACAAAAAATCAGCCCGCTTTCGCTGATCAAATAAAGCAAAAATATTAAAACACTATTGTATTTTTATTTAGCTTGGCATCGGCGTCTTCAAAGGAGCCATGGAAGGTAGAAGGCGATACGGATGAAAGGAATGAGCGAGCCAGGCGTGCGTACAGCGCAGTGCTAACAGTTACTAGCCCCGCTCCTGAGAAAAAAGAATATTTAGAGTTTTCTGATCAGGTACTCACTAACTTACTTATAAAATACTAGCGACTCACCCTCACTCCGCTCGGGTTCGTTCCTACTTACGTTTTAACGTTTAGTATAGATTTCTCAGAAATGAGATATTTTCCCGCAATAAAAAGTATTCTATATGTTGACCTGGATAACCAGCTATCATCATACCGAATTTCATCAAAATCCGTCCAGTGGTTTATCCGTGATGCGGTAACAAACAGACAGACACACAGAAATTCTAAAAACTATAGATTCGGCCTCTGTATCAATAATAATGTCTATTTCAATAAAATTTTCCAAAATATATTTCATGCACAGATTCGGCTCAGTTAGAATTTAATTATATGTACCTATAGATTATTTTTTTTTATTTATTTATCACAAAAAAAAAATACGTATATATTTAGAAAACAGGTGCCTTGTGTACAAAGGACGACTTAGCTCTTTAACAGACCTCGAGCGTGAGAAAGAAAAAATAATGAGGTGCGATGTAGGTACAAGCAACAAACATCCATATAAATATACAAATATTCAAACATTATGTATGATTGCACAAACAACATTTTATTTCGTAAATAAAAAAATAGTTGAGTTGAATCGTTATTTATTATAAGCTCATTTCATTATATCTTGTCCAAGACTTAATTAAAAAAAATATTTAAATGGAAAATTTAAATATGTTCGTTTGTTTTTTTTTATATTTATGTGATTGATATTTAAAAAAAGAGAAAATGTGTTATTAAAATAATTGTCATTAGAACACGCTCCTATATATTTTTTCAGTGTCATTTATCTTAATGATGTTTATTGGTCTTCTCCATTCTACGTAATAATCTGCGCTCAACTGGCACGTTTTGAAGCTAAGCTTTGAATTCAATTGATTTATTATATTAATAACAGATTTGAGTTTAATTGATTTATATTTGAATTATCGAAATCATATTATGCCATTTCGAACTCATATTAATTTATCATAGAAGAAAAATAACCAAAGTCCAAAAAGGAAGAAGTTCTGCATTCCTTATTTGTTTCTTACGCAATATCTTCGCAGATTATAAATCGCTTTATATTATTCTTTTTAATTAAATAAATTACAGAATAGAGACATTTTTTTTATTGTTCAAAAAGTTTCATGTAAAGACATAAGAATTGCATTTTAGTTTCTTATGAGGTCAGTTTTATATTTACTAGATGCCCTTTCAGATAATATCTAATTTATTTTGCTAAATATATTCATTATGCAGGAAATTACCGAAAGTTAGAGACATGTCTAGGTTTCATTTTAAAATATCAGTACAATATTTTATGTTATTACATAATATTATAAAGAGTCTGACTATGTGTTTGTTTAGACGAATCTTAGAAACTACTGAAGAGATTTTCCTACGGTTTTGACTAATTAAAGGAATTAATTACCGAGAAAGTTATTGACGATAATTTATAAACATATTAAGAAAACGATCTACTGCTCTAATACTATCGTGGTTTTACGCGAATATATGACATTTTTAAAATAAAACTATCTTTTCGGATTTTTTGCGGATTTAATTTGATTTTAGGTGTCTACGTTTCTTATACTTTGCAAACATGGTCACAGAAGAGCTGCTAGTGTGATGATATTTGTTAATTAAGTTGGAAAAAAATCATCCCTTACATGCCTGTCTGTATTCATTCCTGAGCGAAGCAAGTGTTTGAAATTAGTTACTTATAAACTACGATTAACGACAAGTCAGTGGTAGCCCAGTGGTAACGCGCTCGCTTGGGAAACCGAGTGAAGCGAGTTCAAATCCCGGGTTTCGCACCTCTGTACGAATCATGTACGAATCATTTTCAACTTGATTACCACTTGTCTTAACGGTGAAGGAAAACATCGTGAGGAAACCTGCACGTCTGAGAGAACCTAGCAAGTTTTCAAAAGACATGTGAAGTCTGCCAACCCGCACTTGGCCAGCGTGGTGGACTGTGGCCTGATTCCCTTTGTACTAAAGGGAGGCCCATGCCCAGTAGTGGGACGTTAAAAAGGGCTGAATACAAACTACGATTCAATTGAATAGAAGTTCACATGTCAATATTTTTATCACAGGTCAAAGAACTAGCAGAAACAAAATACAACTACACATTTGGGAAAGGTGAAGTTGTGTCGACATTCGTAGCTGCTTTCTACGACGCCGTGTTGCTATACGCGCTCGCTCTAAACGATACTCTACGACAGGCGGACGATCCTAGAGGTGAACTGGATGGTGCTATGGTTATAAGGAACATGTGGAATAGAACGTTTCAAGGTATGTTTTGTTTTTGATATACAAATTTTTACCCGCGAATATGCTTGCGTACTCTTCAGTTAAATTCTAATGTATTAATGTATGGCATTGGTAGCTCAGTACTTGCTTGGAAAAAGAAGTGATGCGGGTTCAAATCCCGGTTTAATATTGAAAATAGCGTTCTTGTTTCAACAATCGTAAACTTTAACCATTGAAATTATTTTTCATTTAATTAGTTGATTAACATATTGATTGACATATAGAACTCAAACACCAAATTCTTTTTCACCGGTGTTATGGGTAGATAAGAATATTTACGTAAGTTAGAACTCGTGGGTTTTTAGGATAATTTTTTGGGATAAACAAAGTGCCGCCTTAAGCACGAAATAAAAAAAAAAATAAAGCACATACAGTACAAGATAAACGTACTTTAATAAATTGTGTAAAATACTCGTATTAACGGAATTTGTGATGAACAAAAAGTTTGATTCACATACAAAAAGCATTCAATAAACTTTGGAAACTGACGTCACATTTCTTTACAGCTACGTAATACAAAAAATTTAATCTTCAAGAAAAATACGCGTGAAAGTAAAAGTAAAAGCTAACTTTTATCCTATTTCAGGCATAACTGGCGAAGTGATAATCGACGACAATGGCGACCGCGTGGCGTCGTACTCCTTATTGGATATGAATCCTAACACAAGCAAATTTGAGGTCAGTGACCGTTTTTTTTCTCATATAAATGTTAATTTTAGAAGCATTGTGGGTGGATATGTGAAATAAACTATACGAATGGACAAATTTTTCAAATTCTGCTGCTCTTTCTTTGAAAACATCGCAATTTCATACGTTTCATTATTGTCTTAATAATGAATATTATTTGTATATATGATGTTACAATACACTGTGATATTAAGATAAAGTTTGGCTTTTCTACTTCCGTTTTATCATTATCGACTTCGAAAATATCTGATTAGGTATCTATTCTAAATGAAAACCACCGTTTAGTGATTTTTTTTACATTTTAGTGCCTGGAAGTCGGTTTTTTTTATTAAGTTTTTATTTTTCCATTTTTAGTGTAGAGGTAATTTGTAAAAAGATAGTTTTTTTAATAACATATTCAATTAAGCAATTTATTTAAAACCACTCGACCGATTTCGATAAAATTTAAATGGGACCACCTGGGAAGTATACCCTTCGGTTCAGGCGTCTTCGAGTAATCGGTGAACATACTTACATAAAAAAAAGATTCCGACGAATCGAGAACCTCCTCCTGTTTGGAAGTCGGTTAAAAATGATAATACATCTATGATGTCTTCATGTAGTGGAGCATCTACCTCCTCGTCGTCGTCGTTTTGGGTTTGACTACCGCATCCGTTTCTTTGAACTGCTTACAATTATATTATTAAATTTATCATTTCATTTTTAATAATACTTTCTTAAATTTACGCGAATATTTGATATCTATACAGATAAATAAAATTGAAGTGTCTGTTTGTAATGTCAAAATAACAGGGTTTTACTAAATGCATATGGATGTATACACAGTACATATACTAAAACATTTTTTTTTACACTTTCTGCCTGTCTGTTTGTTTCGGCTAATATCTGAAATGGCTCGACCGATTTTGACAGGACTTTCATTGGCAGATAGCTGATGTAATAAGGAGTAACTTAGGCTACTTTTATTTTAGAAAAAAATAATAATAGGGTCCCACGAAAAAAAATTAAAACCAATGAAAAGTTCAATAATATCCGATTCTAATAGGGAAGTTGTATACATATTTAAATAAAACTAACTTTTCGGATTATTTCGCGGGCTTATTTAAAAATAATTTTTAATGATAAAAAAACAGCAGCATTAAGAGATACATCAAATTTATTGCTCAAAATAAACTTTTCAAAGCTAAATACTCTCTGGATTTAAAAGCTCAGTGATATGTAGCTGAGCTATCCTTGAGCTTCGTGGTATGTGGAGACTTACGACCTCTAAGAAGTAAAAGGTTAATGCAAGGCAAAGTATAAAAGCTGAAGTCTGATTGTAATTTATTTTTATTTCTATCTATAACTCTTATCTTTACTATATATTATACAGATAAATAAAATTAAAATGTCTGTTGTGTAATGTCAAAATATCAGCTTTTTACTAAATGCATATGAAATTATATACTACTTTTTCTGTCTGTCTGTTTGTTCTGGCTAATCTCCAAAACGGCTGGACTGATTTTGACGGTACTTTCACTGGCGAATGTGTTATGGATATAATGGCATTTGTTTTGGAAAAAGAATTAGTATTCCGTTCAAAAAAATTTAAACATACATAACAGCAACTGAGCGAAGCGAGTGTAAATCGCATGTCTATATATATACAATATACTCGTAAATTTATCTCGTGTTTCTCAGAATTGACTCTGACGATTTGATTCAAATTTTATATTTGGGTTTTGTTGTAAGTTTATCATGTATTTTCTGATAAAAATGCATTTTTTATATCTTTTCCGAAAATGGGTACTATGTATATCTATTATTATTATGAGATTTTTTCATTGCAACTTATTGATTTTTACAAGAATATTTAATTTCATGAAACATGCATATCGAGGTTACACAATTTATCATCATGCCGCAGCTTTCATAATAAGTTATGCTCGTCTTTCAAGGAAAATTGATACCAACAGAATATCCGTCCCCATAACATAACATATTACCCCACCATACCTCTCGCATACTGCTTTGTAATAGGTGTTTTGAATAAATCCTTTCTATTTTACATAATGTTATTTACATAAAGTTTTTACCACAATTATGAAAAATAATAAAAAAATATGAGAATTTAACACCTTCATCTTTTAAAACCGTGATATCTTAGGAACGGTGATAGTTAGGAAAAAAAGTGTTACGAATATTTTTGTAGATAATTTTATGATCTACAATTTTTGTTAAAATTAAAGTTTTACTTACTGTTTTCGAGAAAAATCCAAAAAACAGAAGATTTTGACCTTTGACCTTGAATACCTTTTTTTAGCACACATGGGATCAATGGGAACTTTTGACACATTATTTCTACTGGTGTATCTAAGGTATCTACCAAAATTTAGGTCTATGGGAGTTTTTGTTATTGGATCACTATTTTTGTAGCTATTTTGACCAGACTAAAATGTACCGAGAAACACACTCGAGCGAAGCGAGGGTATGTCACTAGTATATTCATATACCTTAATAGGCAATGTAATCACTACACTCATATCACAATACTGTGATAGTAGATAAATCCTTGGATTTATTTCGTTCGCTATATTGTCAACATACAGTGTTACGTTAATAAATTAGCCCGGGATGCTCTTCTTAATTACACACATCTATATAAACAATACAAGCAATTGTCTCATGTGATAGTCAAACCCGCGATCTAATCTGTACATATAAAGTTTCTTATCCTGACTAATTTACCAGTGCCTAGATTAAAACTAGGCTGTCAGAATATTAGCCCTTCAGATTCAGGGTAACATTCTAAGAGCCTATTTGTATTATGTCGCAACAACTAAGAACGTTGATATTTAAATCTCTCAAGGGTTTTAGGTTAGAGTTTATGTACCACATATGATAAATAATATTTAGTTTATATACTTAATAGAAATCTTTTTTTTAACTGCCTCGGTGGTGTAGTGGCTAGCATGTACGGCTGCACACCCGGAGGTCCTGGGTTCGAGTCCCGGGTCGGACCAAGTTTAGTTATTGAGTCTTTATAGTAAGTCTCAGTAACAGCCCGGAGTTGGGAAGTTGCCGGTGTTTCACCCCTGTGCCTCGGAGAGCACGTAAAGCCGTCGGTCCTGCGCCTTAACCCTCACCGGTCGTGTCGAGCAGTCGTCCCACCGGAGTATGAGAGTGACAGGAATAGAGAGTGCATGTTGTGTCTGCGCGTACACTTGTGCACTATAATATCTCCTGCGCAGTTGGCTAGTCTCAATGAGATTGGCCGCCGTGGCCGGAATCGGTCAGGAGAACATCATCAGTAACCTATAGACAAATACTTCTTTAACATAATATATGAATAACAAAAATGAGTAATTTGAGAAGGTTCTCATTAAAAAAAAATTGTGCGTGTAACCTTTACGCGCAGTTGAAGTAAAACTTCTTTGGCGCTGTTGCAGATACCGCAAATTGAATTTAAATATAATATTTTTTTCTAAAATAATAGTAACTAGCGACTCATTCCCCTTTCAAATTTTCATCCCCATTTTCACCCCCTTGATTTCCGGGATAAAAAGTATCCTATATCCTTCCCAGGGTCTCAAACTATCTTTTTACCAAATTTCATCTAAATCGGTTCAGTAAATCCAGAGATTACCCCTACAACCTCGCCAACTCACAAACTTTAATGATAATATTAGTACAGATAAATATTCTTTTTATAAGTAATAATTTTTATAAAAATATAAATATCATATATATTTTTCAAATTATTAATAATAAATTTGACTCTCACTTCCGAGACACTCATTTTTAACCGACTTCAAAAAGGAGGAGGTTCTCAATTCGATTGGTTTTTTTATGTATGTACACCGATTACGCTGAGATTTATGATCCGATTTACGTGATTCTTCTTTAGTTTGATGCGGAATAGTTGACATTTGGTCCCATAAAAAATTAACTATGTATGCAGTAAGTAGTTTGATACTTGTAGGTAGTATCTATGTACTACCTATTAGACTTGGCTGGCACCGACTTCAAATAGATGAGTGGGTAGTGCTTATAATAATTATATTAATTTATTTTTCGCTTTTGAGTGTCTATTGGTGTTTTGAAGTGGGTTGTTTTTTTAAAGTTTTTTCCAATGTATTGACTTATCAGCCTAAAAAGTTTTACTACAAAAGCGCCCAGTTAAGTCCATTCAAGTATGTACTAATGACATACATAGACACAAGAAAATAAAGAAATATGTAAAGTGAAATAACTAATTTTCTTCAATACTAATTGTTAGGGTTCCGTACCCAAAGGTATTTATTGGCTGGTTTTTGTACATGTTTGATGTTTCAACCCTATTAAAATACCATCAGTGTATCGACACAGAAATGTGATAAATATTGATAGGGCAATCTCAAAGCGGAAGATCTCCCATAAGTTACATCTTTTTATTGTTGGAAAAATTGAGCATGAAGATTCATTTTCCATTTTTCCATTGTTCATTTTCCGTTCTAAATTTATATTTTATGTATGATTTATGAACATTATTTATGTATAGTAATTCTCTATTATCGCTGCTCGAAAAGTAAGTAAGCCTTGGTGTGATAATACAGGTATAAATAAATATAAATATGTTGGTACATTAACGCACAGCACCATCTAGTTCCATGGTAAGCTACGAGGCTTACGTTATGGATACCAGATAGTTGACTCACTACACATATATAACTTTAAATACATACAGGTTATAAATATAAACACCCATGACTGGGGTACAAATATTTGTGACTCATCACATAAATGAATGCCCCCAGCGGGATTCGAACCCGCAACCGCTGGCACAGCAAGTAGGGTCGCTACAAACTGAGCCAAACGTGTCGTCTTCATCGTATAATCATATATCGTACGAATAAATAATAACATTTATTCGTAGTATAAATGCCAATTTATAATATAGGTGCCCCAAAACAAATTTGCGCGTAAGTCGCGTTTTATTTTTACCTTTCATTATATCTCAAGTATAACCGAAT